TTATATATTGTTATTTTTTTATCGTGAGTACTGTTACACAGTAATATTTTTATCATTTTGCACAATTTACATTTTTTATTTAAACTTTTCAAAACGCTTCTTAGAAAATCTAAAATGTTTTCATTAAGCTTGTACACGCTTTCTTTCTAGCTGCATTTCATTCGTTTTCCATTAGAATTTCTCTATTAAATATTCATATTTCCCTTTTCTAATCTACATAAGACACATGCCTTATATATACAAAAGTAAAAAATTGATATTGGTTCATGTGTGAGGCGATTATATCTACCAGTAATAATGTTTTCCCCACAAGTGTAGTGCAAGGGCGTCGGAAGCGGTCCGGTTTTGGCCGGACCAATAATTTACAACTCAATATCGTTTGTAAGCCAAATTCTACTTCCTCTGACTTAATCAAACATAACTTGCACATTCAAAATTGGAGGGGGCCGGCTGGGACCTCCCCCGAACCTGCCACTTCCCAGTGGTGAAACTAGGTTTCAATGGACCCTTTTTTAAGAGTACAGTCATCACACAGGTTAAGAATGCTATATATAGAAAAATAATTACCAAATTACAGTTTTTTTTAATAATATGAAAGACAGTGTATTGCAAAAATTATATAAAAATAAATTGTTCAAAATTTCTTATCAATAATTCCATAATTATATGAAATGAGAGAATAAATAAAGTGCAAGAAACACGAACGTATTATATAATGCAATATGAATAACTTTTAGGTCTATTATTTTATTTATACAAGTTGACGGATGTTGTGAAATACCTAAAAAAGGATTCCAGATTCAAGAACACTTTATTGTCCATTTTAAAATTTTTCTTTGCAACCGTCTTGGTTAAGAAGGATAAAATTACATTAAAAATCACAGGACAAAACAACTTGGCAATGACGAGAAATACGTTAAGATATTAACAATTTAAAATAGTGAAGTAGTAAAAAGTCAAAACTGTTTAAAACTGTTTAAAATTTACTATGTGTATCTCAGAAACAGACCAGCCATTTTAGTAAAGATTAAAACTATAAAAACCTAGCATTTTGCTATAACATAATGACAGCATGCTAATAAAAAGTAAACATGTGTTATGTATACACAGGATACAGTATGCATATTCCTCCATGAATAAATAAAGTGCAAGAAACATAAACAAAATTATATAACTGAATAATGCAATATGAATAACAAGGAATGTGCACCTATTATATTTATACGAGTTGACAGATATTGTGAAATACATATAAAAAGATGTGGCGTAATTAAATTAACATGTGTTATGAATACACAGAGTATGAATACACAGAGTATAATATGCTATGCATTATTTAGTAAACCTATTAAATGTCTTTTGAATTAAGATAGGTGAATACGTTTGATTTTCAAATAACAGGCTGCTAGTATATTATTTAGTATTATTATTTAGTAAACATTTGGTTTATTAATGGCAGGAGGACCATGTATGTAGTAGGTATTCCCATTATATGGACAGATCTACCAGGTGATAAGTACTCAATAGAGCAATAAGAATCAGGGGCATCAACTTTTGGTGGAGGGTCAATATTAGAATAAAGGTACTATACGTTTCTACATGGGTTCCACACAGGCCCTACAACAGTCCCGGTCAGGGTGGTATGACAAACGGCAGGGAAAATCAGCAATTTTGATTAGATACTTATTAACAGGTAGATATTTATTAATCAATTCAACTGATCGATTTACACTTCTTTGATTAAAAAAATTACTAAGACATGGCCAAGGCCGCCCATTATACATGCGTACAACCCGTAGCTGAACTATGGCCCTGGTTCGAGACGAGTAGGCCTACGTGTCAATTCTTTTAGAGTATTTTTGCAACATACTGAGTAGTCCGTATGGTAATACATCGGCTAGTGTAAAACATTTTTCAAATATATTACTTCTACTGTTAAAGCAATATTTAACTACTATTACTTGTACGTACGTTAATAATTATGAAATCCCATGGTGACAAATATAAATGATTAAGCATGAATGGTTAAATGATATATTTAGTACAAGTATGAATGATTGGTATAATAGAATAGTGCGTGTTTTGAGCTATAGAAAAAGACAAAACTAATGAAAAGAAGTCATGTTAATGCAATGATGAATATGTATATTTGGCGACCAATAAAAATATCTTCCGACGCCCCTGTAATTATGTTTACTCCTCATTTATTTCGGAATAGAAAAAGTGAAGATTTGTATTGTCAGCTATACGGTACAAGCTACTTTTTACATGATTTGCAGATAATTTACAAATTAGTTTTAATTTTTTCAGCTGTTGATAGACGAAGAAGAAATAGGATAAGCAGTACTTCTTTCTTGCTGCAACACTTGTGAGAAAAGGGGTGTCATAAACACTAGATGTCTTTTTGTAGTACATGGGTATATCTCCTATTTGCTTCTTTTGACTTGCGACGTTTCCTATACTTCTTTAACTTGTCTGATAACAATAGAAGGAAAGAAATGGAGCTCATTATTCCTCCAACCACATAAACTGCCGTATAAAGTGTATTTTGCATTTTGTCTTGTGTGTGTGCCAAAGTAAGAAATACTACAAACAATATACAACCGAGAAGGAGAACTGCCCATGTTGGCCAATACCACCAATTTCCTGAAAGAAAGTAAAATATTTGAGTAGGTTTAACATTAGTTAGGAGATCAGTAATACTTCCTCAATATAGTAATGCTTATCGATTGCTGTAAGATAACAGGGCCATTTTCAGATTATCAGTGCCCTATCAGCGCCCTTTGTATATACATTTTGACACCGATTATAACAAATCCAATACTAAACTTGATTAAGGTGAAGTGAACATTAGTAAAGAAATTTGTCTTGTCCATGTTACCCACAATGCTTTCAGTGGTGGCACCAGGAAGGGGGAGGGGGAAGGGAATTTCCCCCGTCGGGATCACAGGCCTGTTCACCCTATCATCGATGATGTCGTCGAATGAAATATTTAAAAAAAGTATTAATTTTATGTAGAATAATAACGTTATTTTGATTCCAAATTGTTGTGGTCTAAAAGCACAATTTGGACTATACTAAGCTCTAAAAACTCTCCTGTGAGCCCTACCACGGACTTCTTCGACCCGGATGGAGACTCTAGTCGGCTCCTTGGATCAGACCTCCTGTCGGACATATTGGACACCTGTAAGCAAATTTCTGAAGCCACCACTGGGCCCTTTTTGGGGTCTCATACCCAACTTCCATCGTAGGATTTTAGATGTGCACATTTTAAAATCATTGTTATTCTAAATATTTTAACGACGAATAAATGATATGATATCAGTGGTGGATGCAGAAATTTGAATTAGAGGGGGGACCAGGGAGGAACTTTAAAAAATGAAGGGTTTACCACTTCAGTCCCACCATGGTTGGGGCTTAGATAATACAATTTATGATTGTGGCACCTCTGGATGGCGGGAAATGGCACTCACAGACTTAAAATTGTGAATATAATTTTCTTTTTTATTTCCATTAAAAAAATAATTGACAAATTAATTAGTGGGGGCCCGCTGGATATAGTATGATATGTTCTACAGTCAATGACACATTATGTTGTGGTGTATGAAAAGTTAAATGATTATTGATTGATTTAATATAATTTGGAAGGGCATTCCATTCTTTGATGCCTGAGAAGAAACAAGTTGAAGTAGCAACACCTTTGACCGTGGGAACAATGAAATTTAAATAATAAATTACTTCCTCTGGTATTGTAATTATGGAATTCGCGAACTCTACAGAAATTCAGAGACATATAAGGAGCATTTTTGCCAATAGAGATCTTATTTACATGATTTATCTATCGTAATATTTTACTCTATCAGCTACATTTAATATACCAAGATTTAAAAGTTCTTCTGTTCCAATGTGTGAGGGAGAGGGGACTTAATGAATTAATATAACAAGCCATTTTGTTTGGAATAACTTGCAGTTTAGATTTAAGGTGTTTATTAACACCACAAAACCAATTTTCGATGCATAGTCAAAAAGACATTGCAAAATTGGAGTACAAAGAAGTTGTTTACATATTCTGTTAAGATACTCATTCTGCCTGTACAAAAATTTTAATCTAGCATTGGCTTTATCGATAACTGATTGTGCAATATATTTACAAGAGATAGTATTGTGAAGCTTAACTTCTAATGTACTGGCTTCGGTATATTGACCCTTTCCATGTACATTGTCTAAACCTAAGTAGTAAGATACTTTATCTAAGTCTTCCATTTTAAATTTACTCTTTATACAGTCCTTAAACTCATGTAAGATGTTCATTAGAGGCTTCAAGGTCATCTACCCAAACTATAACGAAAATAATTTTATCTTTAATTTCGTTATAATATATAAATACATATTCATTTTCAAAGTAGGACCTGGAAACATGGACCCCTCTTTCTAAGAATGCACCTGATTGGGTGGATATTCTAGAAGAATGAGAATCTCTTGGATTGACATACTGAGCAATGGTTAGGAGAGATGAGTACCAGACCAGAAACGGAGGGCTGTCGAACAACATGATAGTGATGGCACCAAAAGATAACCAGAAGGGAGTAAGTGTTTTAAGGACATCACTAACCTTTAGGTCTACACCTATTTTGATATACAGCCTTGTCATTGTAGTCATGCCTTTCACACACACGTTCCGCAACTTGATCAAATCCTGTCTTTTTTAATGCTTTGATCATGATTGGCATTTGCTTTTCTGAGTGACCCATTTTCCATATAGCCAACATGTGCATGTTGCTGTCGCTCTCCCATTGATGGTTGTATGTAGCAATATCATCAATTACTGCCTGTTCAAATCCTAGTTGCCTTGCAAGTTTTCTCCATCCGACTGGCAAATTGTCACAGATAAACAGCAGGTCTTGGTCACTAAAGCAATCTTGTTCTGTAAGTAATTAAAAGTCAATGTTTAAAATAATGTCATTGTACATTGTGTGTAGCTTCGATTCTGTATAACATTGTATAAGCTTCTACTATTTTTACTACTTCAATACCTGGAAACTTACATTATAAAAAAAACATTGTTGGGATCACAAATTAGAAGGCAATTTGTCTCATAGGGACTGTTGAAAAATTATAATTATAAGCATAACAAGAATAATCATAATAGCAATAATGATTGATGATATTAAGTATTACGTCATAATACTAATAATATCGAAAGAAATAGTAACAATATATAAATTCAATTTAGGTATAGGCTATAGGTCAGATGTTTTGTTAACATTGGTAAACTAACAATTTTGTTAATATTACTAGGAAGATCATTCCACAGGAATGTAGAAATAGCTGAAGATTTTTGTAACAGTTAGGCTTAAGCTGAATATTTTTTTAAAAATAATTCAACATATCAAGTATCGATAATGAAATTCTTTTATACAGATCATGTATTTTGAGTACTTTTACGTTTTTTTAAACAAGAGCGACCGCTAACTGGTCTGTGCGTTAAACTGATGTCACCACTATTCAGCATTTAACGCTTCCTGTATGCACCTTTCAGAAGAGGCTTTTTGTTGTTAAATCACGGAGGAAATATCCTCCATGCTTAAATAAAGTATATAGTGGCGCAATTGGGTTTTCGGCAAGGGTTCATAATTGTCAATAATTACTACTACTAACAAAAAAAAAATAATCAAAATAAATAATCAAAATAAAATAAAATGTTTTTAAATTGAAAAAAATAAATAAATAAAAATTTAATACCAAGGTGCGATTCGAACGCAAGACCTTTGGTTTCTTTGAGCACATCTTTAACCGATTGCACCATCCATGGACATGTCATATTAATGGTACAGTAGTTGCAGTAATGTACAGTTCTTGTTTTGTTTTGTAGGTATAGGGGGCACCCTGGGGGAAAACTTTAAGAAAGGGCCATGAACGGTTGTTGGAAATAACCTCTAGTTTATGTGTACAAAATTTCCAGCTTGTCCGTTCAAAACTGGCAACGCTGGACATTTTAAAGTTTGGTAATAACAACTGGTGAGTAGCCCATTTCAATTTCTTGTCAGCATCCACAAAAAAGCATCATTTTACTAACCTCCCCAATATAATTACCGCTAAAAGAAACATTAATAATATTTACATTTAAATTTGGCTTTTTTTGTGGAGTATGGAAAATATTATATTTTGTTTTGAGTATTTGGAATCGTGGGCGAAGGATACAACCTGCAGCGTGTCACTGACTGTGGTAAAATCATTTTCATTTTCATATCATTATTGATTAGGTCAATTATTGATTAGGTCAATAATCAGCAGTATGTACATAATAGAAAGTGTTACACAAAAAAAATCTTAAATTTAGGGAGATCTGAGTCAACCAGTGAACCAAATCACTGTAGCTAAGCTGGTTGTCTCAATCGCAAATTCAGGAACACACTACATTACACAAGATATAAATGGGGAAAAATCAACATTAAAGTGAATAAAAAAAAGTGAGAAATAATAACGGGCTAAGAATTGATGCCTGGCACACCACAGGCTATATTCGCGATCTATATTCTCTGTTCATGATTCACAAGATGCAGTGGTAATGAACTGTTTCCTATTAATGCAATTTAAAAAAATTCAATACGATACCTCTAATTCAATAGTGTGTTAGATTAATCAATATCAATTAATATTATTTGATTTATGACCTCAAATGCTCAAAGCCCCATTCCCGGCAAAATTTCACTAAAAATTAGAAAATATGCATTTGCATTACTCTAATTATTATAAATCATGGAAATATATTGGCATGAATTTTAGTTTTACGCAAAAGAATAAAAAAAATAAGAAATACAGACTATTTCTCATAAAATATTACCATTTTCTCGACGAATTCATCGTTACTAGGCAAATTCAGAGGTTGTAGATCCCATCCACTGGAATACTCTCGCTTTTATGTATACTTTATACAGTCAATAATAAGTGCGCCCTCTCTAATGAGATTAGTTTTTGCAAAGAAAATAAATAGCAGAAGATAGAGCAGCTTCCCAATATAGCGAAACATCTGTTCAAAAGGCATTGTGGGTACACGGAGATCAATTTTACTGCAACCGTGCGGCGGCGCTATATAAAAATAATAAAGGCGCTGCTCTTGTTTGCTTGTTTCCTTTAGTTTCTCCACTTAGTAAAATGTTCAAATTTTACTGCAACCGCAGGAGGGCGAATGTTCAATCGATTTTAATGCAAATACGCGGAACAGTTCATTCTTCTGCTATTTAAGTTTGGTTTTTCTACTTCGCATCTCGCACAATGCGGTCGTTCGGTTAGGCTGAGATATGTTTGTTTAAGTGTCAAAATCTCAGTCAGAATCAGTTTTTTAACAAATTTGAAATAATTCCTATGAAATATTATATTCACAAGTGTCAATACTAGCAACGGAAAATATCATGTCGGCCGTTTTTATGTGTGATAACAGAAACTAAATCGAGGTAAGGCTAGGCCTAGCCTAGCAGCCTTAGATAGGCTAATGTTTTCGGCGCCTACGATATTTCCTCTCACGACCTATCGCAAAATCAACATGAAAAATTCATCCGCATTTATTTTTTGTGTGGAACACAAAAAAAAATCAAATTTCAGTCTTATTTTACATTTTTTCATTCTTAGGAATGTCTAAATTCAGTTAAACTAGCAATTCCGTTATTATATGTATAAATCTTTATAACATTATACAAAAATTAGATTTTTCTTAAAAAACTGAAATTTTGCCGGGAATGGGGCTTTAACTGATGTCTAAAAATAAACTACAGTATGTAGGATTTTTTTTTTATCTTAAAAAGCATTCTAGATCAAGGGTAGCATGCGAAGTAGAATGATTCTCTCAAAATCCGTATTGGTGGGGATTAAGTATGTTATGTTTTGTGATGAAGTTAAGAAATCTAGAATACAGAGTTTTTCATTGATTTTTGTTAAGATAGTGAATAATGAAACTGGCCAAGAGTTATTTATTTATTCTTTCTTTGAACTGCCGGTTTGCTTTCAGTACTTGTGTAGTGGTTTTCAAAGTGATACAGATACAAATAATCCATCAATATAAAGAAAACAACACACACAATAACATCAAAAGGAATTCAATATAAATATTATGAGTTTGGCTACGAATGCATTTTGAATGGTTATAGTCATCAAAAATGATACGTATGGATAGATAAGTATGGATTTTATAAGAGGATTTTCTTTTTATAAATATTAATGACTTTAGCACATAGGTGGGAAAAGTGCGGCCCGACTGCGATTTTTTTGCGGCCCGCAAATAGAAATTAAAAACCCTATGTGTGCGGCCCGCCAAGCAACATTGGCTAGAAATCACCTTGTTTTTCACGGCCTGACACCGGTCATATGTATAAAACATTAAAACTCAGAAGAAAGTGGTGTAAAAGCAGTGCTTGGCGGTTTTTGGCAGCTCACTGGAAACATCAAAGTTTGGGTGCGGCCCTCGGTGTTAAATCGAAAATTCACTTTGGCCCTCCAACCGATTTTTATGCCCACCCCTGCTTTAGCAAGTTTAAGGTTGTTTAGGAAAAATCAGATGAAAATGATGAATACGGTAATACAATATGTTAAATAACTGACCTGCTTGTTCTTCGATAACAATACTTTCTGTATCACCCTTAAACAATGAGTCGGCAAATGTCTTAAACCCATAATGTCTCAGAGCAACACACAACAATTTAAGCTGATGTTGCATTCTACTTTGCATTTTGCTCCTCCAATACCACATCATATTTTTGACAGCCTCCTCTCCTTTTTGAGTATTAAACTTGTTTACTTCAGACCAACTAAGTCCCAGACGGACACCAAACTTTTTTCTTCTTAGCCCTATTTTCTCAGAGACTGTCTCAATAGTAACATCATCCACATAATCTAATACACAAAATACCAAAAGTCTTTCAAAACAGTATAATAGATATAACATGCAGTTACTATTTGGAAATTTATTGATCGTTTATGACAACCACATGAACATTTTAGATATTAGGAAGATGTATTAATACACTCCACACATGCTTTTCATGTGGGCAAACTGGGGGCAGTGGACGCATGCTGCTGTGGTGCCCGTTACCTTACTGCTTTCTACTATGATAGATGACAAATTCGCAGCTGATTCGCCAAAATGGAATGCGACCACTTTAATGTGATTTTATACTCTACTCAATCACAAAAACACGTATATACATTCTGCGTATGTACGTTCTGAAATTCTATATACTTATAGCATAACTACAAGATGTTTTGAGAAGTTATGTCTGTATTTTATCATTATAGAGGTTCTTCGCTATTTTGGACTAGTAACAATAATGTAAACTGACCTTCAGGTGCTTCAGGTTTATTTACTGTGACGTGGGAAGGTGGAACAGCTAAGAATTAAAGAACAGATAACATATTATATTGAAACAAGGGTGCACTGTTTTGTTTTAAAACATCCAATGTCATGTGAATCTTTTTTGCTGTCTCGACACTGTTTTGTGAGAAACATTTTAGGTATCCTATTTTATGTATAATGAATGTGCATTTCAAAATTGGAAAGAAGGAAATCGTTAGAAAGCCTCGACTGTCATAAGCCACCCCTGTCAAAAGTCACCCAAAAATGGATTATACCATTGAAAGGCTAAGGTGCACAATGGGGTGTTTGGCTTGTTGTTGGCACAATAGGTTTTGGCTGTAGTGCTAGGAGTTTTTTTGTATCAGACCTCTTTTATTCTTTTGTGTATTATGAATTAGAAACTGGGTGTAGCCTACCTAGGCTTAAACATGATTCAGTACTCCAAATGCAAACAATCTTTTTCTGTCGATTAAATTAATAGTGACGTAATTTTCAGTGCTCCCTGATTCTTTTAGTTTTATTTCATTGTTCTCACAGTATCAGAACATTAGTAGTTAACTACTATGTTAAAGTTTATGATTGTAGAACAAAACATTATTACCAATGACAAATATCTATTTACTTATTTACTAAGTATTTATTTTATTTTAAACATGCTAAAAGTTAATTGTTTAGGTTTTTGAGAAAGAATAGCACATATACATTTACCTTGCATTGGCATGCTGTCTCCAAATAATCGATTGTAGCGCGTCATTTCAATACCACTGCTTCCACATGGCAGCACATTCTTATCGAATGTGCGCACAATATGCATATGAGCATCTCCATTTGGGCAACATACACAAGGGATGTACATTGTTAATTCAACTCCTCGTGCACCTGTTTGCGAAAAATTCTTTAATCCTGTTTTGAGGAAGTCCAGTACCTTGATTAGAGTGTGAGCACAGGATAAGTATACACAGTTATTATAATGAACACATACTGTACTTGAAAAAAAGAGTACGATTAAAACATTGTAGGGGTGATGTTTTGCCCTACCTGACGTGATATCGTACCGAATGCTCAGTACGTCCCCAAATACTAGCGAAAAAAAATTCGCAAGTGATTCGGGTGGGAATCGAACCCACGACCTCCAGGTATCTAGCCTGATGTCTTAACCACTAGACCACCGAG